TTGAACTCTGTAAAACCAATCACAGTGTTATGTGTTTGTAAATGTATTGACACGAAAGCTTCTGTTAAGTATAAGATAGAACGGATAAAAGTTTCCGAGAAGACCTGGCAACGTCTTCCTCTTTGATGATCGATGTGTCTTCACCGTGTTACTGTCGAGTACCTCAGACGTGTTGTAATTGCTTTCTTTAACATGTTTAGACCAGTAACCCTAGAAATTATTCAAACTCCTTCAGGTAGTACAGAGTCATATACATTCTGTAAACGACTTACAATACATTACAAAGAAGAGTAGTTTATGACATCGTCTTATGGTCACAGCAAATGTCGTGCGACAACAGGTAGACCCATTTTAGTCATGTCAGAAATATCATTCATGCGTACTTAATTTTGTTTTTTTGCTAGTTCTTTACGGACGGTTTATACGTACACTATGTCATATGCCAAAGGTAATTTTACAATGTTGTCTACTGATTATAGACCAAACTATATGTTATATTAGGAGGATTGTGCTAATATGTCATTGGTTTTAGACAGTATGTATGTCTGTCTATGAATCTTAGTTCAGGTAAAGAGATGACAGCGTCCGCATCTGATAAAGACAATGTACACGGTCCAATATCCCATAATGCTACCGCGTTACATATTGTGTGTTGTTTGGGTTTTGCTGTATATCAGCTCAAGCAATTCAGTCTAACATCAAACAATTATAATTTGGCTGGAGGTGTATGGTTTCATACCTTATTGCAGGACATAAAAATCACATCTTAAACTGATTTTATCTGTTTTAATTTGTTTTCTTTTGCACAGTTTTGAGTTGTATAAGATCATAACTACATGTAAGTGAAATCCATGTGATGCCAGCGCTTATTGCATTACGGAACAAACTCAGTAAGATAAGTTTTTATAAATCATATGCAAATGTTACAAACATGATACAGATAATAGAAAACATGATAAGACGTAACTGATTAAACCCAATGATCACGTCTGATAACTTACTTACACGTCTGATGAAATAAAAGTTGGACATTGTAATCTTGATGGAAGTGCTGCGGAAACATTCAATTGTGCATATTAAATTATTAAACTACTTTGAGTTGGCATCTACAGTCAATAGAAATGCAAACTGGAAGTTTACAATGAACTTGTGACATTCCACTTGGCACCCAAAGCGAAGCTGCTAGAATGGTCTGCCTCTATTTGCCAGTGCCTTCTCATTATAACGGAGACAGGTTTTGACAAATATTTTGAAAGGCGTAGAACTCGTAAACTTAAACTTTTGTAGACGATGATAAGTAAACTAACGCCAAATGGTCCTTCTATTAAATATGGATATAATGTTAACTGAAATAACTGTTACCCGTTCCGAAATAAAAATAATTTCATATTACTTAATAATGTATTTTTTGACAATTATGAATCGATTGTTTCCATCTTCGACACTTCACATATGAAATGATCTAGACTTATCTGTCAAATCAAAGCCTTCTCTTGGTTAATTCAAACAATATCACCGCTACCTTTACTCGTGTGATACTATTCATAGACAATCAAGACATATGTGTTGTTCTTTATATAACGATGTTTTCTGTATTACGTTATGGAAAGCCCAATGTGATCATACGTGTTTCTACAAAAAGACTCACTATATTTGCGACAATGACATTGAACGCCTATTTAGGTTAATTAAATCAGCTGAGAATATTAGAAACCAACTATGTAGATTTTTCAAATTAAGTTCCTTTGATCCAATCACTTATATGTACAGTGTATATGTGTAAGTGGGGATTGGAGAAGGCGTTGATAATATTGTAGCAACTTGTACCCAACAATACTTTTGCATTGATATGGTTATAAAATATGATTAAACCAGATAATATTTCCAATGAATCCGACTAAAAGCTGAACTTATATTTACTATTTCGGAAGTATTTCAACTCCTGTTTGAAATATACGATTGATTTTGATTTATTAACTATATTTTCTGGAGGTGAAATACTTCCGAAATAGTAAATATAAGTTCAGCTTTTAGTCGGATTCATTGGAAATATTATCTGGTTTAATCATATTTTATAACCATATCAGTGTATTTTATGTGCATATTTGTTTAGTAAATGGAACATCTACCTTCCAGGGAAGGTCAATAGTATCGAACTTTACAATCAAAATGTTTTAATACACACGTGGTTATGGCATTAATAGTTGATATAAATGCCATCTAAAGCTGGTAGGGTTAAACTAGTAGAAATGCCACAGAGTAGTATATATATATATACAGAAAGTCAATTTTCGGATTGGCAGGTGCACTGATCGACCCAAGCTTTGTTACGTATCCCCGTAAATATTTCAAAAGTGTTTGGAGATGGTCGTAAGACGGCGCTCTGGAAATATCACATTGAAGCTGGAAGCTAGCAATGTGGGCTATTGACACTAATTACAACACTTACGAGGCTCAATAGTAGGTTAACACTCGGGCAAGTTAACATCCACACAGCATGTCATGGAAGGCTAATTAGCTTTCCTGATATAAATTCCAATTATTGTATTTTATCACAAACAGTATTTTCCTTCTAGAAGAGGTTTCGTATATTCGTCTCTATACTGCCAGGTCCTTACAGCCAAGTATTAAACTAAGATAACACCATGTTTTTCATCACAAATTAAATAAACATCTTTACATTTACACATCATACATTATACATTGTGTATGTCAATACGCTCGGTTCTTGCTATCACAAACATATATTGATAGACATTGTATATTGCATTCCACCACGAAAATCTACCTAACAAAACGTTAATACATAAAGTTCTATTAATACAAAAATATCAAGCGGTACGGTTACTTTATGATGCCATTGTTTTCAAACCCCTACGCGTCGAGAAGCGCCGCCGGAGTTTGATATGTAAACACCTTGTCCACTTCCGGTGCTTCCCCATGTGCGAAAGCCTTCTGGGAAATTGAGTCCGCATACTGTCTACAAAAATATCATAGTAAACATCAACGATCCCGGTATTTATTACATTTTACTAGTGAATTATGATGAAATCTCCGTTGAATAGAATCACATTTTCAACACAGTAAAGATAAACGAAATATTATATCTTCATTTGTCAAGATATCACTCTTTGTATTGTCCAATCAGAATGGTATACTCCACTCACTGCGTAGATTTTCAGTTTAAATTTTAGATCAGTGGTTGTAAGGTTCCGTCTTACACAATACGTTATGCTATTTTCATGTCCGCGGAAGGAAAATACATTTTAACGTGCATATAGGAGGTTTTCAAAAGAAAAAATATCCATCTTTCCAACAGTACTAAGCATTCTCCCGTAGATAAACTAGAAATGTTATTTTTTAATGCAAGAAAGATAGGTGGGGTCGACATTTCGACATCGAGAGCTTTCTTCCCTTCTCGTAATCGGATCATTGAGCGTGGTTTTTTTTTTTACCAAAAATCTATCTAAACCCCAAAAACGTATAAAAGATACTCTGAACACCTTAGTTAAGGTCTAAATATAGCTGTAATAAATGCCCAGGTCCGTGTGGTTATTACCAAATTGTTGACATTTAAACGCGCTGTTAAAAAGTTACATTTGCGTACTTTGGGGCAATTCTAAGCGAAAAAAGTTATGCCATTAACAAACATATCCGAAGAATTCATTCAAATATACAGGATCCGTTCCGTCTCGGATTTTTGACCGTCAGTAAGTCATTTAAAAGAAAAGAAAGATTTGGTGTCCAGCAGCTTTCCTGCACATTCTTGTTACATTTGTCGAAACGAAGCTTAGCTTTCGGCTTCATATAACATAATAGATAACTTGTCTTCAATTAACCACTCAGATGAATATGGTTGTTGATTTTGCTGATTCATCTAGAGAGCTTGTTTGACGGTAGACATACATCACATAATTTTATAGAAAAAATGATTCGAAGACTGATTTTCATGTTTTAGAAGTTAATATCTACGTTAAACGGTATATGCTGAATGTCATGCCGATAAATGAATGTCTGTGAATGAAGCGCAAACTTTACGGAACACACAAAAATAGTAATAAAAAATACAGTTCCTTGTAATTGTGATTCAAAGCATTCCTTTATGGGATACCTTAAACAAAATATTATTTAATAAATAATGTCCAGATAATGGTTTCTAAAAGATGTGTATCACATGTTGCATTTAGTAAAGAGGTAGTATATGTTCAAAGAACAATTGTTTTGAAAGGGTTGATATTTCGCTTTTTTCCATGTTAGGAATGAAGTAAAAATGAAACCACCACTGAACATAAACGATTTATAGTTTATGTGGCGCATAGTGCATGATTGGTGTAGAGAGTTGATGACGAAGCCGTAGATGATGAATGTAATACTCTATGTTCTATAAAAATAATACGTTAGAGTACGTTGAAATGTGATGCCCAGCCGAATTCGGTTTTTAAGACACTATAATAAGACAATTATACTCCACAATAAACCAAAGAGATAAAATTCGATAACTCCTTATACATTATAATAATTCATGTTCAATAAAAATAATCATATAATATATTTCACCTGTCTTAAATTATCATTGCACATCTTTATCAGTTACAAGTGGATGTCTTTAACGATAACATCGCTATTAGAGGTACAGTAGGTAAACAGTCGGGGTAACAATGTAGGTGATGGTATAATACATTCAGAGTTAGAGATTGTAACGACGTAGATGATTACCTAATATATCTAAAAACGCTAACAGCAGTATTACACGACCAAATGCAATTTCTATGTAAAGGGACCTATATAGATATATTACTATGCTTTATCCGGTTTGGTTAATCAAACTGCTTAGTATTAAATGATGTTTTTTTTCACCGATGATTTTTTGCCTTGTTTGACCAGAATTTGAAAATCGTATGCATATCTCCAGATTTCATTCGGGAGTGTAACTAGCAATGTGTTTAATAATCTGAACATGTATGTGTATCTGTCTAACACACCGTCCGTTTCCGTTTCAGAAATGTATTTGGTCCGGCCATGGAGCATGTTAGCTCTGACACTGTTATACTTCAAACTGACAAAAGCGGAATCGGAAGCTGAAAATGACGCAGACGCAGACAGCATTAGTCACAATAGAGTGGCACGGGGGTTGAGCTCGTTTGTTCGCATCGGGAAAGATGGTGAAGATCATTCCGTGGACGGTCCGGCAAAAAGATTGAGTTCTTTCATGAGAATAGGAAAAGCCTATGACTCGTCAAAGGAGAATGAAAATGACCTCATGGACGAAAATAAGCGATTAAGTTCTTTTATGAGAATAGGGAAAAGCTCTTATGAGCCTCAAGAAGACAAACGTTTGAGCTCTTTCATGAGGATCGGTAAAAGTTCTGATGAGCCAATAGACAAGCGATTAAGCTCTTTCATGAGGATCGGTAAAAGTTCTGATGAGCCAATAGATAAGCGATTAAGCTCTTTTATGAGAATTGGAAAGAGCGACGATGGGTCCTACGCCAAACGAATGAGCTCTTTCATGAGAATAGGCAAAAGCTTGGATGACGAACCGCAGGATAAGAGAATGAGCTCATTCATGCGTATAGGAAAAAGCTTGGCAGAAAATGCTGTAGATAAGAGATTAAGCTCTTTCATGAGAATTGGTAAGAACTCCGATGAACCATTGGACAAGAGGATGAGTTCGTTCATGCGTATCGGTAAAAGTGATTATAGCGATCCAGAGGCAAAACGGAAGAGTTCATTTATGAGGATTGGAAAAGGTTCAGATGAATCACTGATGAAACGCTTGAGCTCATTTATGCGTATCGGCAAAAGTATGGAAAATCCCGAAGATAAACGGATGAGTTCATTCATGCGTATTGGAAAAAGTATGGACAATCCCGAAAACAAACGGATGAGTTCATTTATGCGTATAGGTAAAAGTATGGACAATCCCGAAGTCAAAAGAATGAGTTCATTCATGCGTATAGGCAAAAGTACTGGTGATGAAAACGAAGCTTCAGATGTTGACACCCAAAGTGAGGAGGAACAACCAGAAAAGAGGATGAGCTCGTTCATGCGCATAGGACGAAGTGCTGACGAGAGTGGTGCTGACATGAAAAGAGCCTTCATACGCATTGGAAAGATCCCGACGTCGTCTTTTATGAGAATAGGGAGGCGACCTTACGTTAGAGTCGGACGTTTGGGACACTCGTCTTTCATTAGAATAGGAAAACGCGCCGACGACTCAGTATAAAACGTCATATCCGCCGTCCAGAAAGGCTACTTCCTGTCGGAACAAACTCTTAACAGAAAGGACAATTTTTCTATAAAAAAAACCACTCGCCGAATTTTTGTCATATTCATGTCACCATCTTTTCCGGAATTCATGGTTCTATAGAAAAATGGGTATAGGAATAATTGTACACACAACTTATCAAAAGCCGGAGCACATCAAAAGCAAGACTGGGATATATTTGGTGTTGTGTTTTGAGAATACGCACGACAGTATATTGAACTGCAAAGTGTTGCAGCTATGTACATAACGTTATAATGTATATGCATAGCGTCTATGTTTGTTAGCCACAAGTGTTTTGACAGGATATATATTTTAAAAAGAATGTCACTGAATTACTTAATAATTATAAATTACTTCGACTGCCTTCATTTAAATACTGCATAAGGTGTGTAGGCCATGCTCGGTCTCATATGAAAGAACTACAACATCCGTTACAGTGTCGAATCTTGTTTGTAACTAGTGTGTGTTTCGTAGAATGATCCCTAACACTTAACCAAAAACTGTAAAAAGTTCTTATAGAATCAACACGGAAATATATTCGAAAATATATAGCCCACATTATGAAATAAATATTGCAAGTCTTCTTTGTCGTACGCGGGCTCCATCAATTTGATGTTTATGCCCTCAAAACACCGTAGCGTTGTTTATGTGAATATTCCAAAGGTAAAGAAATAAAATTAATTATTCGCTAAAACTCTTATTGTACAGTGTGCACGGAGAAGTCGAAACAACTGTCTGTAAAAACACTGAATTTGATATTTGCGATATTGTACGCAAAAAATAAAGTCAATCTTTCTCGCTTAAATCAATAGGACCTGTTGCGTCGTCAAAAGACAATTTAAAAGAAGCTTATCGAAATCGCAAAAAAAATTGTATTAATAATAACAATAACATTTTTTTTATTCATGTCATACCAGCGACGTATATACTACATCTCAGGTCATACTAAAAAGTTCAAACGGCAGTTTCCCTGTACATTAAGATATAAAATGAAACGTATAAAAATGAATTTTATATTGACCCTTTTTCCTGTGACGACGCGGCAAGTTGGGGAAAAATTAGGTCAGAATGTGATTACTACGTGTTTTGTTTATAGTAGCAAACACTGAGAATTGAACATTATTACATATAAACCACACGGACACTGTAGGTATGTTTAAGTTCGTTTGAGCAATATTTATATGCAATAAAAACAGGACAAAAACCAAACGTCATGATGAAATTGACTGCATGTTTGTATATATACTTTATGTGATAAAGTCCGTCACTCAGCAGAGGAGCAAAGGGTTTGTTACATGTTCAAATTGTTGTTGATTAAAATATCATTTCTAAGATTTGTTTTTATTTTTCGTTTTCAAAGGTAACTTTTAGTGACACCATTTGATTTGTAATGTATTACTCTGAATCCATTAATTATGTTAATTATTGTCGCGTATTCGCAAAATACTTATTTCAGAGAAACAGGGCCCGTATACATGAAACCGTTCTCATGCTCAAGCATGGATTCTGTGCTCACGCCAGCTTTCTTGAAACCCACCTAAATCATGTCATCGATCAAACAGTCAAATTTAAATATTGAAAACAGTATTCAGCTTCTAGTTTCTTCATTTTTTGTTCACAACTTTAATAAAATAAGAATTTTTTAATAATTTATAACTGGAACAAGAAATTAGACTTGAGCACAAAATCCAGGCTTGAGCATGAGAATGGTTTCATGGATACGGGCTCAGGTCTTTCAACGACATATTGTTGAGGATTTGAATTAGCGAAATGAACAACTGATATATGTTCATTCATTGATTCTTTGTGTCTGAATAAAAAGATTCTAGATAGGTGAATTAATTATCGGTTTACGTCACAAACTTTCGCGGTAATATCATGTTTAATTGATTTACAGCAAATTTTATTCAATGAATGGAGGGACATTGCAACATTCTGTAAATCTTCTTTGGAATAATTTTTATTTTTAGATGCATTCAGCAAGCAAGAATTTTGTGACGATTAAAATCAGTAAAGAAAACAACTACATACAACATTTTAACCTTATGTCTCTGAATATACAGTACATCTTCAAATATTTTGCAATGTTCATGTCGATAAATACGCAAATCGGCTTCGTGGTAAATATATATGTAACCGATTTGCGTTTATAATTACATGCAGTGGAAGAAAATGCTGGTAAACACATATATTTACATTCTAAATATTATAGTTATCATTGATCTAAATACCATATATTTTACCTGATATCTTCGATATATAGGAGTTTTTCACGTCCGTAAAAACGAGATTCCTGGAACAGCCTAACGTCACTAAAATGATAGCACAATAAACGCAACTTCATCTAGTTCCGCTAATGGATGAATTTGCAGGGGACATGTTAACCTTTATATAAGAGATATCGCCTCATTTCCCGCTAAAACAAACGTATACATCTATGATATCGCACAGCGTCAGGTTTCTGTTTGTGGTAAAACATCTACATGAGCTCGGCCTTTCGGATAACTCTTTGTTCAATGATTATATTGTGGCGCAAAAGTCGCTGATAAAAGAAATCTCTAAAATCGCAAAAATCGTTCTGTATCTGTATGCAGTAGTTTGAAGGATTGTTCTCTCGTTGCCACTGACGTGACATTGATGATGGAGTTTCCTAAAATCGTCGATCAAACATTTGAAAAAAACCTTTTAAATCCTAATATTTACATACTCGAAACTATAATAATTAGTCAGAGAAATTTAATCATTGTCTATGTATGTAATTACATACCGTTGTTTTGTTTTTATACAGTGCTAGAAGCAGTTCAAGTGATTGATAACGAATCCTAGCTAACGTCTTGTGAACCCGTTGTCGCATTACCAGGCATACGAACCTTAAATCTTAAACCTATTAATTATTAACTTGCATAAAACGTGCAGATTACATGTATCCGGGTTCATTGTAATCTAGGATACTCGTATTCTTTTCGTTGTTTTAAACAGAATTTCAATATGAAATATATATTCGCAAAAACATTAAGTTACCGCCAGTTGCAACTATTGACTTCGTTTGTTTACAAGTTATTTAATTGGAGAAATAATCAAAGTTTTACCACATTCTTTTGAACCTTAAGCGTTATGGCTCCACATCGCTGACGATATCTTATCAGTGAAAATGTACATGTCATTATATTAGCGTTATTCTTATTTGATCACTTTTAACGTCATATATTTTGCGCTTATATTCACCGCTAAATCAAGAGGTCCGTGTTTTCCGAAGTACATTTGTTCAAGGCAAGAGCCGATGCATTGATTTATGATGGCAGTTATACACTGATATATCTAGACAAGGGATCTAATAGATTATATCTACAACAATAAAAATTGAAGGATTAAATCCGTTGTTCGTTTCCTCAACATCGACAACGTAAACATCGTATGTCACTTGGGAAAAAATGAAAGTATTCGAGGCATGATCGAGTTCAATAGCATCTAATGGGTTCCGTTTAAACAACACACATTGAAACGCAGTCGAGTGATGATCTACCATGGGTTGTCCAAAAATGAAGAGTTATATATATACTTGTTATAAGACACTATGTAAAGGTCAGGCAGAAGTTGTCCACGACGCCAGGAGTCGAACCTACACCTACCCGCTCAGCAGGCTTCTGACGCCGACGAACGTTCTAGATATCACGGCCGACCGGAGCTGATTTGTTGTTTAACTACAAAAAGACAAATTTGGCTTCATCAAGAAATTCGTTCTCGTGATTTCATTTTTTTTTTTATTAAAGTTTAAACTAATTTCCGTTACAATCACAAGGAGATCGTTTCAGGAAATTGAATTTAAACAACCCCAGAATAAACCTTCGTTAAAATAAACGCACTAATAAAATACGGATGTTTTCAATGATAATTCGACCTGGTGAATCACATGTCTCGAGAGAGTTTATTGATAAAACAGACGGTCTTCTCAAAGGTAGGCATATGGCAATTTCTATTTCGTAGGCGACCAGATATTTCTGAATGCAGCTGTAACGGCAACCTTTACACACAGTCGAAAGATTCAAAACAAAGGTTAACATTTCAAATCAAAACGAATTCACATTGGTGATCTCCGGAGTCCAATCACGACTCATCGAGAGTGCTCTTGAAGGTTTTGATGCAATTAAATTTGGCATTCATTTTAGCATTTAAAAAAATGTGACGACGGTATTATTCGACCCCAAAGCCTTATTAAATGTTAATGGGGTCTTTAACATGGGTATTTTGTATAAATTTGTTCCATGATTAAGGTTAGGTGTTTTTTCAAAAAAGTGGGAACAAAGTTGTAAACAATTTAATCAAGTTGTTATAGCATTCGAAGCTAGTTATGGTTTCGTCAGTTGAAATAGATCTGACATTTATTTCAATATGACGTATTCAGTAAACACGTTTTACCAAATAATGTATTGTGTTGGAGTACGAAATATGACAGTTAAAATAGGGTATCGCTAGTGATACCAACGATAAAAACCCGTTGCTAATATTTACACTGATATTACGGTTCGGTGGATTTCTTCTATGAACCTTTCCTAGGGGCCTCGTCAGAGCTCAACGTTCTGCTCTACCGTACATTGTATTTTATAAGCTTGATATGAACGAGTCTGGCGTATTCTGAAACCTCCCTCCAGGACACGTGTTTATCAAATAACTGTATCAACCGGAGGAGTGATGGATATATATTGGCATAGCCAAATTAGTGATGGTTAGATAGTGGTATGACCGGATAAGTGATGGCTAGATAGTGGTATGACCGGATTAGTGATGGCTAGATAGTGGTATGACCAGATAGGTGATGGCTAGATAGAGGTATGACCAGATTAGTCATGGCTAGATAGAGGTATGACCGGATTAGTGATGGTTAGATAGTGATATGACCGGATTAGTGATGGCTATATAGAGGTATGACCGGATAGGTGATGGCTAGATAGAGGTATGACCAGATTAGTGATGGCTAGATAGTGGTATGACCAGATTAATAATGGCTAGATAGTGGTATGACCAGATTAATAATGGCTAGATAGTGGTATGACCGGATAAGTGACGGCTAGATAGTGGTATAACCGGATAAGTGATGGCTGGATAATGGTATGACCGGATAAGTGATGGCTAGATAGTGGTATGACTGGATAAGTGACGGCTAGATAGTGGTATGACCGGATAAGTGATGACTGGATAATGGTATGACCGGATTAGTGATGGCTAGATAGTGGTATGACCGGATAAATGATGGCTAGATAGTGATATGACCGGATTAGTGATGGCTAGATAGTGGTATGACCGGATCAGCTATGGCTAACTAGTGGTATGATCGGTTAAGTGATGGCTAGCTAGTGGTATGACCGGATTAGTGATGGCTAGATAGTGGTATGACAGGATAAGTTGTAGCTAGATAGTGGTATGACCGGATCAGTTATAGCTAACTAGTGGTATGATCGTTAAGTGATGGCTAGCTAGCGGTATGACCGGATTAATGATGGCTAGATAGTGGTATGACAAGATAAGTAGTAGCTAGATAGTGGTATGACCGGATTAGTGATGGCTAGATAGTGGTACGACCGGATAAGTGATGGCTAGATATAGTGGTATGACCGGATAAACTGCTTAATGATACCTCGCCGCTATCAACCGATAAACTGATACCTGGCCGATAGCGGCGGATCGAACGAACGAACTATGCAGCCGCTTTCACGGGACGGAACTAGTAATAGTCGTCTGGATAATCGAACCACTCGTAGTGAAGCGGACGTTAATCTACTAAAACAAACAAACAACCGGTACTAGTGCCCAATTACACCTGTACTTACCACCCACAAGATATATTTAAGTCCGTAACTAAACTAATAAAGCCGTGTTATTTTAATAATATCGGATCAGTCTAAGAATAATGTTTCTCTTATTCTTATGATTAAAATGTTAGTCAATGATACGATTTCTGCAACATATATTTGTTTGAATAGAGCGGTCGTTTAATCTATGTTATAACTGAATAATCACTAATGTTTAGGTATACCTAGACAATTACGACGCGATTTAAATTCAAATACATGATTGCTAGCGAATTGTAACCACAATCACGTAATCACGTAGTCAGTGCCAATATTCACGGAAGAATTGTCCTACCACATTTTGTATTCTTAAATATCGTAATTATGCCTGTTTGTTACATGAAATACCATATTATACTAGCAATGAATTAAGGCCAGATTTTTTAAGTGATAATCGTTCTGATGTGTATGTCCAATACGTGTCAGGACGGCGTGTTACGAATTTCAATCGTTCAAAATTTCCCACCTGAGTGAACGCCATTTTGT